GGTTCCCATAGAATTATGACAGCAACAACAGAAAAAGTAAACTCATAGGAATCATTCACTTGAAATCATTCATTTTCAACTCTAACAAAAAGAAAAATATCCTGACTGTGCATCCTAATGATATATGTCTTTTATTTATCTAATATTTAAGTAGATTTTAATTCTATGTTATCACATGACAAGAATTTATATTGCATTTGTATACTTGGGGAATTAAACACATCAAGTCTTAGAAATTTCTTTTCAATATCTATAAGAATACACTGATTGAGCAACTATGTGCTTCCAATCATTTGCCTCTACAAGACAGCAATGTAAGTGGACTACTCAGTGTATTTAGCCTAACTAAAATAGAGATTTTGAATGTTTGTCATAGTTCCAACCATTAAATGTAATTTATATAATTTCTCTATCTTCTTAAGTAGAATGAATGATAGAGTCAAAGGTCAACACAACTTCAGAGATGAATTACTTGGAAAAAGAAAGAAGAGGTTTTTTTGTTTTTTAATTTGAAAGGACAAAGGAGAATGTTTAAATCATAGAATTGAAAGGCATAACTAATACAGAAGTTTATAAGTCTGACAGAAGCTTAGAGAAGACCTAGATGCTTCCGTAGTCCCAACACCATGACGACAGCATGGAGGAGCAAAAGGGGTCCCAGTACCTCTATCACTTGCGTAAGAATGGTGAGACAGAACACTCACACAGATCAGCCAGCGCAGATATGCAGCAAGAATAAACAGAAGCCTAGAATCCTTGGTGAGCCAGCTTCCCAAGGCTCAGGAAACTGCCCAGGGCGAATGGAGTGTCATCGGTGCTTGCCCCATTGTGACACAGCTGAGGGAACTCAGTACACCCTGGACACCACTTGAATTGCTGAGCTCAAGCACTGGGGAACATCCCATTCTAGGAGGGAGGAGGACATAGCCTAGACTGTACCCAACACTTTCACTTTATCTCAAGATGCCCCATTCTAGAACTAGAACGAGATAAAGAGAAAGTCTCTGTTAAGTGGCAGGGGAAAGAGCTGGGGCAGCCAAGGTAATCTGGGGACTTGTCTTCCTGCAACTAACCTTCCCAGTTCAATCTCTTCTTTATTTTGAATATTGCTAGTAAGAAATAAGGACACTATACAGTTTCTCTTTGTGGTATATTATCCTTAGAATATCTTTTACTGAGCTAAAAGATCCTCCCTCCCTTTGTGTTTTTTCCTTCTCTCTGAAACCATATAGAGTAAAATCTTCCTGATTTGCAGTTTTTTACATATTGAAGAAACTACTCTAGTTATTGGAGTTTTCTTGTTTTGTTTTTAGGTGTATGCATTTGTTTGTTTGTTTGTTTCTGAGATAGGTAGCCTAAGTTCATTTAACCATTCCTCTAGTGCAGAGGTTTTCACTGTGTGGTCAGTGCACTGGTGATGGTCAGTGACTATTTCTTACCCTCTGCACACTGTATGTTATAGGTCTGCAAGAAGATAGGGAGCTTGCACCAAACTATAAATCAACACACCACTTATTTCATTGAAAAATTCTTCCTACAAAAAGTAATAATAAAGTTAGCTGAATTAAACTGTGTTTACTGAGATAGTTGCTTTATATTGTGGCACAAGATTTTATCTTATTGCAGATCAGTAATAATTAATTGAGCCAGCTAGTTTGATAGCAAGTGATAAGAATTTGACATGATTTCTAGACTGGTTCTAATCATTCTTCCCTACACCAGCCTCTGAAGTACAACCAACTATTCCAGAGAGTTTGCTAAAAATATATTGGAAAATATTGCATCCTTGTATCTGGAGACCATCTTAGTTTTGTATTGAGTTTTTAATCAAGTACAGCACTTCATGAGAATTATACATTTGTTCCCATTCAGATTATTCTTGATACTTATAATCCATCATTCCAAAATTACAACCCAGTAGCCATTCTGTCCAATTTTGTGTCATTTGCAAATATGGGCTATGTAGCTACTGGTATGTTAAAAAAAAAAAGTCACTTAGACACCACCTTTAAAAATTTTTTTTCCTAAGTCCATGGTTCAGCTGATCAGTTATGGTAACCTTGACTCACTCATTTCTGACGATCTTTCTGGGGCCTGATCAAGCATCTGCCATTACTGGTTGTTGATAGGGAACTGATCAGTCTATTATGGCCTCAGCTAAAGTAACTCAGCTTTCCTCTACGGTACTTGTATCCTTCAGCAGACTAGCTTGAATTTGTTCTCATGGCCATGATGTGGTTCCAAGAGAGACAAGAAGCACACAAGACCCTTGTAAGGATCAGTCCCACCGCTGGCCTAGAGTAAAGCAGAAAAAAGGTGAAAATCGATCTGGAGGAGAACAAAGATAAAACCATCACAATGCCAATGTGTTCTTCCAAATTATTTATTAAAAATTTGAACACGGTATTGACAAATACTTTTCACAGAAGATCTCAATAGACCTTACAAATGCATTGGTCAACAGTTTCGTAATATGTTATTTAACTACCTATGATTCTACCAATAGATGCTTTCATCTAACCTATATTTTTCCATTCATAAGAGTTCAGTGAAAACTTTTCTAAAATTTGATGCTGTAATTAAGAAATTACCCATTGTTTTCTGAACATAAATGACCATCACTGCATTATTTATAATAGCAAAATATTAGAAACACTGCAGGAATGAATACATTTTTATGGTAATCCATGTAATGAATTAGTTCATATAACTTCTAATTTTCAAATAAAATGAAATGGGAAAATGCTCACATTTTAATGTAATAACAGAGTGGTGAGATACATAGTGAGACACAACATTAAGGAAATGCAGGTTTCATATTTTATATTTAATATATAAATATTTTGAAATCCTAGAAAGGAATACACTAAAAATATGAATACTTATTTTCTTTGGATAGTAAGATAATTGTGATTTTTATTTTCATATTAAATTTTTACATATTTTCCAAATTTTCTACAGTGGACATATAAAGCATCACTATCCAAAAAAGATAAACATTTAAAGTTTTTTTTTCCATTTTGCACGTTTCCTGGGAATTAAAATCAAGCTCACACTTTCCTCTATTTTGAAAATTCTGCCATTTGTTCATTGCCATTTAATATTCTTTGAGATGTTATAATAATCAGAGGGGAATTGGGATCTTTGCCATTAGCATAGAGGCTAGACAATAATAACTATTTTATGAATATTTTTATCTTGAATTTTTTTTCTGCAGCTATACTCAATGTATGTCTTCTTTTTCTATTGGATACCAAGAAGAAGCAGGATTTTATGACTATTTGGAGCGAGGCATAGTACCTATGTCAGAACCAATAAAAAAGATAAGTTCTATATCACAGGATAGGAATGCAAGGGAAAAATACATCTCAAACATTGGTGACTCTTCTGTCACATCATTATGAGACTAAGGAAGCTATCCCATAGCTACATCTATGTTGATATTGACCATTTGTTTATAGCCTTTAAACTCTTGCTAGCAGTAAAAATCATGTTACAAGGTGACATTTAAGCCATCCGTAATGCTTAAATGGATAGTACAGTTGCTAGAATGTCTCTAACAACACAGTGGGTAGGCTTTTCCCGTAAGAGATCTAGAATCCGAATGTGAGCAAATAACCTACTAGACACCATGTCCATCAGAAGCATTGTGATAGAATAATAAAGATGTGCACAGAGTCTTTGATTCTCCTCCCACTGAGAAGTGGAGTCTCTGTTCCTCCTCCTGATCTGAGTGGACTGTGTTACTTCTTGACCAACAGTATATGACAGAAGTGACATTATGCTAGTTTCCCGGTCCAAGCATTAAGAGGCTGGTAACTAATACTTCTTGTCTCCTGGAACACTCACTCTTGGAAACCAGCTGCCAATCTGTGAGAAACTAAGCCCCATGGAGAGTTCATGCATATGTGTTCCATTGACAGCCTTAACTATGCTCCTAGCCAATCACAAGCATCTGCTGCAACCATGTAAGTGAGTCCTTTTAGCCTGTCATGTCTTCAGATGACTCTAGCTTCAGACACTATCTGACTCCAATTACGTAAAAGATCCCAAGCCAGATACATCCAGATGAACTCAGTCAACCCACAGAATCATAAGACATAGTAATAAATTGTTGCTTTAATCTACTAAATTTGTGGTTGGATTGTTCAATGTTATTTTTTAAAAAACTGGAACATTAATCTTAGCCGGTACTGTTGTACTTGAAACAAAATTTTAAAATAATTGCAGGAAATAGATGATGACATAAGATCTCTGTAGATCTGTCTTTTAAACTGGAACAGACCAATAGTGAGGAGAGCTTACTATACGTTACACCTTTCAGAATCATACAGACATCGTGATCCAAAGAAACCAAGAAAAAATAAAACGAAAGCTCAAGATAGCATTTAGAACTTCATGTTTGGAGTTGATGAGATGCCATTATGAGTATGGGACTTTACTGTTTATGACAACCCTGGGAAATATGAATTATTATTATCCTCATTCTTTTCTTTCCCCCTCCCTTCCTTTCTATCTCTCTCCCTTCCTCCCTCCCTTCCTCCCTTTTTTTCTTTCCCTCCTTCCAATTTCCAAGTTGCTTTCACTGTGCTCCACTCCACCACACCTCAGCAGGAGCCTGTCTCATGTCCGCAATCTCCCCATGCCATTCATAGTATGTGACATATAAAAGGATGCTGCTCAAGCAGGTATCCCTGCGATGTCAGGTGAGCGATCTCTGAGGTGAGAGGGTAACTCCTGCAGGATTTCATCCTCAGAAGCCCTTATGTGCTGCCTTAATCATCTTTGTTCTTCTCTCAGATCGGAAATGATCAATGGCCTGTTTTTTAAGGAACAACGTATTACACACATATATATATACACATATATATGTGTGTGTGTTATACACACATATATATACACACACACATATGTGTGTGTGTGTATATGTATATAAGCCTACCAAACATATATATAACCATTTGTTATGCTGAAGGACAAACAACTCTTTTTGTTTTCAGGTATTCCAAAGTTGATTACATCTGATATGGTTAAAGAAGGTGCTGCTGTAATTGATGTGGGTATCAACTACGTCCATGATCCACTGACAGGAAAGACAAAATTAGTTGGAGATGTGGACTTTGAAGGTAATAAACCAATATCTTTTGATAAGTGAAGATTTAAAAAAATTCCACCTTACATATTTTAAAAATAGAGAAGTTTCATTTATGGGGGAATTATTAACTTATTAATCATCACCTCTTTCTTCTGAGGGAAAAGAGTTCAATCAGACTTAAATATTTACTTTCTCCCTCCTTCTCTCTTTCCCTCCCTTTTATCCTTCCTTTCTTCCTTTTCTCCCTCTCTTCTAATTGTATCATTAATATTTGGTTTAGGGATCAAATTTCTTGAAGTACAGTTTTTATTGATAGAATACAGCTGTCCTTTTATAGACCTGGGCATTGTTTTGAATTTTGGGAGTTGTCATCTTACTCTACGCTTAGTCAAATATGCTCTATTCTCAGCCATTCACTCTTAGAGCCAGAAGGCACTTTAGGATGTGTCTGCCAACCTTAACTATATTTCAGATTTAGGTAGTTATCTAGATAGTTGAAGTCAGTGTTTTTCACTTGTGTTTTAGAGAGAATAAAGAAAAGGAGCTAAGCTAGTTTTTGTGGTCAGTGGAAGATATAAGGCAACAAATACGTAGCAATAAAAAAAAATTCTAACCCGGTCTTCTCTTTACAAAAGGGGAAACTGGGCCCCAAGACTGATGTATTTCTAGGTGCCCGACCCTCTAATCTTATTTTACTTCCGTTATCTTTGTCAGATGTTTACCTGCGTTCAGATTTTCAGTGTAGCCTAGGAGTCTTAGATGTCTATGAAGGCACAAATATGGTAAAGCAAGTGGTGACATTTTTATGTTAGAAATATTTTTTGTATAAGACTGATTATTCTGGCCAAAAAATACAGTGCCACATCAAGAACTTCGTTAGTTATAGATGTGCCCTTCTTACAGAGAAACTGAAAAGAATAGGTGGTGCCATTTTAAAAATAATTTAGATTTTGAATTTTCACTTAGAACCTGCTTATCAGCTGATAGTTTACCCAAATTCTAGCATATTGTTGAATAAAAATAGAAAATGCAGTTAGAAGTGTCCTAGGATACTGGCCTTATATATGTGAGATTCTAAGATACATCAGGGACCAGATCCAAGTAAGCCATTTGAGCCTAAAAGAAAAAGAAAACCCTAAGGACACATATGTGCAACAATGCATTCTAGAGACAAAATGGTGTAAATAAGAGCAGAGTACAGATGTACCTCACCAAAGAAAACACTGCTGCCCTCATTGGCTCTAATACATAGCATCCCTGACATGGTTGGAACTCTGTTCTAGCAGTGATGGCTCTCGACATGAACATATGTATCTGTATGCATATACCTATGTCTGTGTGTGTGTTGTGTACATGCTGAAATCACTAGGGAATGACTTCATTTATTTATTTAATCTTTCATGTTCAATCACTTAGGTCAGATATGAGTAACTTATTTGAATTTCTCAACTTGAAAGAGTAAAGTACGTTTTATTTTAAAACCTGGCCTTATTTATTTTCTTTACTGTCATTCTGTTTCTTGATAACATTATAGTTATGCGTTCATTGCAAAATTACCACATTTGTGATGCACCCAGATGGCATTGACAACATGAGATAACCAGCTTGAGGCAAGAAAAGCAGGGATGTTTGCAGTTCACAGCGTTGACCGCCTGTAAGGCAAGCTTACCCAGCAGTTCAGTTTAGCATATTTTATAAGACTCTTCTCTCATAGAGTATTTTTTTGGTCTCATATCACTTCCACGCTTTCTTATTTTTAAGTAAGAATGATTTTTGCTGAAAGTAAAAAGTATTCTGAAAGCAAATTTTACATGAGCATTTTTAGTGGGTGTATATACTTAGTAGCACATGTAGATACTCCATGTCACATGAAGTCTAACTTGGTAATGACTATTAAATCAAGTTGTAGTTCGGTGTATCTAAGTATATATAAAACATTTAAAAAGGAAACGGAAAAGAAACAAAGATATGAGATGAACAGGGCTGGGAGACCTAGCCTGTTGCCCTATAGCTTTACCACCTCACTAGCTGTCAGTGTTATCAGTTACATGATAGCAATTATATTAGTGGCTCCATTCAGCTCTACTGTTTGGGGTATCTTGGACATCCAACAGAGCATTACCAAACAATCATGTAAAAGCACAGAAACTTTCACCTGGAAGGTCAAGATTTTCTAATCCTATCATAAAAGACACCCATATTATTAATTGTATCTAGCTTGCCAGAGTGCTGGTTCATGGAGCCAGAGTACTAATGAGGACCTGGACTTGGTAAAGAAGGCTTTGCCAGTGAGGCCATGACTCAGCCACCCATAGGAGCAGGCAAGTGATAGGTTTTGACATGTTGCTCTTCAAGTTGTTCATCAGGACTTAACCTGAGGTGAGGGATGATCCCCCAACTGAGAGGGAGGAACTTTAAGATGGGTTATGCTACAAAACTCGTAAGTAACATTTGGCTTCAAATTGCCACAGGGAAAGTGTGGTGGCTGCTTTGTGAGTATCGGTGAAAAGTTTCACTATAACTATAGCCAAGATAAACAAAACAGATGTAGATAAAATCAATTGTTGAAGTAAATTGTCCTTGCAGAAATATTTGTTTCATTAGTAAAGAAAACTAGGTGACCCAGTTAAAGTAGATAACATTGATGGGAACGATTTATCGACATAAATGAGCAAAATGGCTGTGATGGAAAGGATGACAATGTCCCAGAGGATGTAGAAAACTTCACATTAAAGGAACCTGCAGAGAAATTTCATGCCATTGAAAGGGCAAAGGATAAAATGTTGGAAGCTGATTCATACTTAGAAAGGAATCTGCCAGTTCACCAAGGCATAGAAAAGATGCTTGCTCCTAATCATCAGTTGTATGACCAAGAAAAGGCAGGAACCATTCAAACTATACTTTGCAAAATGTTTACAGAGAAAAAAACAGTTCAGTTCTCACTGTTTTCAGCATTTTAAGTTACATTTGTTTTTTAAATATTAGTTTAATTTTGCTAGTAGTTTTACTAGTGAATACTAGTTTTACTATTAGTTTTACTACTAGTAAATAGTAATATTTGTTTTACCATTATCAGTAATATTAATTTTACTGTTATTTTTAATCCGCTATACATTTATAAAACACAGTAAGAGAACTTTTAATGTTTTGACAAAATAATTTTAAAGGTCACTAAACAAATATAATTTCTCCCATTGACTATTAAAATTGCTTCGCACTGTTTCAGCAGTCATCTTTGTGGTCTTACACTACTGTAAAAATTGAACACTGCCTGTATTTTTCTCTGTGTCCAATTGAGTCTCATAAAATTAGTGATCATATAGTTCAAATCAATATCCAATGCCATAACCACTTCTACTACATGATTATTCAGTTGTTTGGTTACAGTTTCTCACTATTACTATTACTGTCCAGGTAGGTTGTTCACTGTGGAAGGTAATGTGTGCTAAGCACCTTGCTAACCAGTATGTTCTTTTCCTCAATATACATCCAAGTTAGGCCTTTTCTGCAATGCCATGTCTCTCTGGATGTTTTGGGAAATAAATAGGGCTTTAAAGTTATTACTAAATTGAAGTGCTATTTTGTTTTGTATTGATTTCCAATTAAGAACTTGACAGTTCATCAATATGTCCAGTTTCTGACAAATGCTTAACCTTCCTCTTCTGTTACTTGAACACACTTCCTCTCTCCTAACTTATGACATTAAAAGAAGACACAGTATTTAAAAACATCTGTGATAAAATTATTTTGCATGTCTAAGAATTATTTTTCATTACTAATAATCATACAGTGAATAATCTATTAATTTATAAATTTATATTTTCTATATAGATTATTACTTTTTACACTTATGTATACCTACTTTCATGGGCATTTTTTTAAACCATTTTCTATTGTAGCTTTGAAAGAAACTTCATACACTTCTGACAAAGAAGGCTGTATTCTCAAAAGATATAAATGAGATTATGTGCTATGAGTAGTAAATAGCTTCTTATGAATTACACATCAGAAAATAGTGTGTAGTCCTAGACCCAAAAACTCGTAATTGTACTGTTCTTAATTCATCACATGGATTTGTTCAGCTGAACAGTCTAATTAATTACTTCCATGCTGTTAATTCAATTAACTGTGCTCTTATAGGTGAATTCTCGGGCCTCATTTATTTCTCATAACTAACACAAAGACATTTCTCTACACTTTTGAAGCTTTAGTAGCTTTGCTTCAATTTTATGATGCTTCCTGCAGGGATTGAGGTGGAATAAGAAGAACTGGAGTGTCTATTCCCTGTTGTCTGCCATCTCTCCTCCTTGTCTTCCAACTCTGAGAATGCTTTTCCACTCATTGGTTTATACTAAAACAAGGAATAAAATAAGACAGGAAAGAATTGGTGTTGTAAAGAAAGCAAAAAGATAGGAAAGAGAAATGGCATGTAGGCATTTTTGTTAAGTTCAAAATAGATGAGATTAATGTCTAAGAGTGACTTTCGTCTCTACTGTCTTAACATAATTGGATAGTAAATTTAAAGTGATAAGTCTTTGTAAAGGTGGTAAGTCTAATGTAAAGGTACATTATATTGTTGATGACACTAGTTTAAATTACAAAAGTAAAGAAGTCACACTTTATGGAGAAGAATGTCTACTCCTCTAACGCAACTGATATTATCATATTTTGTACTAGAGCTGCTTCCAGATATTTTATGTATGCATCAACTATATAGTTTGAGGAATATATATGACTTATGCACTTAAACTTGTTTTACTGATTTGCTTTGCTGAGGTTCCGGTTTATGGTTATGTTCAGTGAATGTATCATTATTTGGTTCACCCTTTCTCTATTGTTAAACTCTTAGGTTGTTTCCATTTTTTCCTTTTAAGTATTATACTTGAGTATAGGTGAAGGGCTGTAACAAAGGGAAACCAAAATGCATAGCCAAGATAATTTGGCTAGCCAGGCATGGTGGCTCACACCTGTAATCCCAACACTTTGGGAGACGGAGGCAGATGGATCACTTGAGTGCAGGAGTTGGCGACC